CATCACAGGGAGACGGGCCCTGACTCCAATCAGGCAACAACCCCCCGCCCCTCCCCCAGCGATTAACGGGGATGCAGGTTAATTTCCCTTTGATCCCAGTGACCAGCCCCTGCCCCCGGCCCTGACTCTGTGACTCTCTCCCCAGGGGACGTGACTCTGGATCCAGACACGGCTCATCCCAACCTCGTCCTGTCTGAGGATCGGAAACATGTGAGACTTGGAGACACACGCCAGGATCTGCCCGACAACCCTGAGAGATTTGATAAATATGCCATTGTCCTGGGCGCTGAGGGGTTCGCGGGAGGTAGACGTTACTGGGTGGTGGAGGTGGGAGGCCAGACAGCCTGGGCTCTGGGGTTTTGTAGGGAATCTGTGAGCAGGAAGCGGGAGGTCACACTCACACCTGGGAATGGATACTGGGTTGTGTGGCTGATGGATGGGGGATACAAGGCCCTCACCTCCCCCTGGACCCCCCTCCCTGTGAGCGTCAGGTCCAGGCGTGTGGGGATTTTTCTGGACTATGACGTGGGCGAGGTCTCGTTTTACAATGTGAGTGACAGGTCCCATCTCTTCACTTTCACTGGCACCTTCTCAGGGAAGCTCCGCCCTTATTTCAATCCCTCTCTAAAAGCTGGGGGTACAAACGCGGCTCCCCTGATCATCTGCCCGGTCCCAGCTCAGGCCGGAGAGAATCTCTGTCCCTGACAGCAACACCCGCGGCACAGATTGTCCCCTCCTAGCGCTGCTGCTCTTCCCGTCCCCAGTGGTGGGGGCCAGTTATTGCAGCAACTGGACTTTTTGTGCTGACCGGACGCTGCCAGTTTCCCTCTTCAACTGGAGCTTCCAGTCAAAAAACAGACACCTGGCAACTCCCAGCTCTCACCTTTCCCCGTCCCCTGCCCCAGGGGTAGCAGATGGGGGTGGATGGGGTCACTTACCCCTGTCAGAATTTTCTACCCCTGTGAAAGCTCAACATAAAATATGAAAGGAAAAAGATTATTCTAATTTAGAAAATATTATTGTAACAAGGTGTAAATACAAGAATATTTTAATTTACATTTCAACAGTATTTCAAAACCAAGCATCTAAACATATTTTTAGAATTGGAATTATTTGCATCTATTTTTTTATTCTTCCCTCAAGTCTATATTGAAGTTTTACTTCTCTAAATAAAGTGATTTGTATTTCACT